TTTCCTCTGTACTCCAGTTAGAATGTTCCTGTATATTTGTTTTTTCATTGCTCTTTGCCATATTACTGATCCGTATAGTACTATTGAGTTTACAACAGCCAACAGCATACGTCTTGTACTTTCTTTGGGGCCTCCTAGATTTGGCATGATGCGAGCGAGATTGGCGATTGCCTTATTAGCCTTTTTAGCAGTTTCCCTTATGTGGTGGCCCATGTACATGTTCCTATCTAAGTGGATGCCTAGGTACTTTAGGTTCTCCTGGCTCGTGATTTCTAAGTTGTTTACACGCACAGTTATGTTTTTGATTTTTCTACCTGCTGCCAGTAAAACCGCTTCCGTTTTTTGTTCCGCTAATTTTAGTTTCTTTTGGTCCATCCATTCCAGAACGTCCCTTATCACTCTGTTTGCCGTATTTTCTAGCTGTATCGCCGTTTTCTCTACAACTAGGATGGCTAGGTCATCCGCATACCCGATAAGTTTGACTCCATTTGGTACCGGGATCTTAAATACCCCATCATAATAGAGGTTCCACATTGTTGGCCCTATCACGGATCCTTGGGGAACGCCACATATCATCCTCATTTGCTTGTCACTTCTGACATACAGAATTCGGTCTTCTAGATAGCTACTAATTAAGTTATAAAGGTATGCCGCGACCTTCCTTCGGCGTAGCTCCTGTAAAATACCTTCCCAAGGGGCGGTATTAAAAGCGTTTTTTACGTCAAGCGTTATTAGGACACATCTTTTTCGGCCTACTCTTTCATTGGCTTCATCCGCTATTTCCTGCACCCTTTTTAATGCGTGGATAGTTGAGCGTTCCTCTCGGAAACCATATTGCTCAGGAGCAAGGCTGCCTGTTCTCTCTATTTCTTGTTTTAGCCTTCCAGTTATCATCTGCTCAAACAGTTTAGCCATGACATTTAGGAGGCATATTGGTCTGTAAGCTTTCTCGGCCGAGTTTGGGCTGTCTTTCTCAATTAATACCAATCTGGCCTGCTTCCACGTATCGGGGAAAACTCCTGCAATCAGAGAACGATTTAAAATATCTAGTATCTTTTGTGGGTACTCATTGACCACTGCCCTAATCACTTCCGGTGGAACTCCATCGGGCCCAGGTGCCTTTTTATTCTTGATTCGCCTGCTTGCTTTAGTAAGTTCTTCAAGAGAGAATAGGGGGGTTTCTTCGCCTTCTACATTCAGTCTGTTCCACTTGGTCACATTGTTTGTTGGAAATAGTTTTGCTGCTATTTGCATTTGTTTTTCGCCCGTCAGGTTAGTTGGCGGTTTGGACTTTACTTTGTTGGTGACGATTTGGTACCCTTTACCCCAGACGTCTTCTTCTACTTCCTCAATAACTTGCTTCCAGGCTGCGGTTTTGGCTTCTATTATAGCTTTTTTCAATGCTCTTCGACTGTATTTATATGCCTCTAAGCAGATAATTTTTTGGGCGTTATTATTAGCTTTGTTAGCTCGGACCATGGTTCTCCTTCGGAGGTTGCATTCCTTTCTTTTCGTGGCTACCGCGTCAGACCACCAGTACACTGGCTTCCTGTTCGGTTTACAGTTTTTATTTGGGAGGGTCTTATGACATGCTGTTGTTATATATTTCATTAACTGTTCTACGCTTGTTATGTTCGTATTACGGAGTTTACGCCCGACTTCTTTAACTAACGCCTCCATATTTTCCTTTTTTACCCGCCATCTTTTACATGTATTTGGTTTTTCTTGGCTTCTGTAATTATCTTTAATCTCGTAAGTGATATTCCTATGTAAGCTGAGGTTTTCCTCCTCTAGTACTTTCCAGTTTTCCAGGGATCTGCCAAGTTTTTCGCTACTGAAAGTAATGTCTATTATGGATCCGTATTCGTTTCTCGTAAAAGTTGGGATATTTCCCTGATTGTGGATAGATAGGTTTTCTTCTGCCAACCATTCTGCTACCATTTCTCCTTTTTTATCCTCTCTGTTAGAGCCCCATAGAAATGCTTTGGCGTTGAAGTCTCCTCCTACGAGGATCTCTTTTTTCTGCTTCTTCATGTCCTTTCTCAAGCAGTTGAGGAAGTCTGTATAGATTTGCAGGTTAACATTTGGGGAAACATAGCAGCTATATATAACCATTTTCTCTAGCTCTATCCATACAAAACCGGGTCCGTTACCAGTATCTTCTATTTTAATTTGCTTATTTAATACTCCAATGGCCGCGTCTAGGTTTCTCTCTGTGTACCACTGTCCTTTTATGACCTTTATCCTATTTGGTTCCGCTAATATTATGATGTCTACGTTCTTATCCTCTACCGTTTTATATAATAGGTCCATTGCCTCCCGTCCTCTGTCTACGTTGACTTGTAGTATCTTCATATTAATAGGGTGTTCTAAAAGACACTATTTAGTCTAGCCCTCTTCTCCTCATTATTTGTTTTAATTATATTTCTATATTCTGGACACCTCATTGTTTCCGCCGTGTGTCCGTTTGTGTTACATAGGTAACAATGCTCTGCGTTAGTGCATTCCCTTTTTTTATGTCCGCCCTCTCCACACTTGTGGCAGTTATTTCTGTCTTCTTCCTTATATTTGCACTGTTCTCCTCTGTGTCCTATCCTATGGCACTTACGGCATCTTTCCACGGGATCTAACTCTCTTATTCTCCATCGGTTCCATCCTTCTCCAATCCTTTTCTTTCTTGTTATGTAACCAGCCGCATCCAACTGCATTGTTATAAAAGCATATTTGTACCCTTTATTATTGGCTTTCTCAGCTAGTTTAATGTGGGATTCATCCACAAAGTTGTTCTCGTTATTCATTTCTCTTTTCAGCACCTGCCTTATATCTTCTTCCCTGACGGTCTCATCTATATCCAGGATCATAAAGGGTTTTCCTTTTGTTTTTACGTCTACCTGCGCGACGTTGCTGAGAGTTGTGTTCAGTGCAGTCGTGAATGTCTTCCTATCTTTCTCATCCTTTCCTCTTATTTTTAATTGCAAGTTCCCGCTGTTTGTTTTATTGATCCTTTCTATCGTGATCCCTTCGGTCTTTATGTCTTTTTTCATATCCCTAAGTATGTCCGCGAAGGAGGCGTTGCCTGTCGGTTTTATTAGTATGGTTTCCTCGTTATTTTCCCTTTTACTTTTTACTAGCTCCCAATTAATTTCTTCGTCTCCGTCGACTGTGTGGGCTCTATTTTTACTCGTAATAACTTTAAAGCTAATGTCTAGCTTTCTTCCTATATACTCAAGGGTATTTCGAGCGACTCCATAGGCAATGTTTTGGTCTATAAGGCACCATATATGGCTCAACGGCTTTCTATCGTCACTTTGCTTAATTTTAACCAGGTTTTCTTTCATTTTAATTCGATCTTCGACTGTGTTTAGACCTTCTGTTAATGCAATATACGTGATTAGCTCTACTGCACTTTCGGCCATTTCGTCACCGGAAATTCCACTTTTAGCGATTCCTCCGACCATATTACCAACATTTAATTTATTTTCTTCAACATATTTTCTGAGCTGGGGGTTTTTCTCCTTGAGTTTTCTTAAGAGTAGATTATTCTTAGTCTCTTCTGCTTTCATAATAAATAAAAGGTTTTCTTCCTCTCCGGTTATTGCTTCTTTGTGAATTTTACACTTTTTGAAAGCATCTTCTGGCCATTGCAGTTCCAGTTCCTCTTGAAGTCGGTCATCATCCATCTCAAGGTCCATAGCCTTTTCAATATTCATAACACGCCTTTCTTTTTCCAGTTGTTGGTTACTGACCGTTTGTGTGCCCATTTCACACATGATTTTCTTAGGAGCGACGGTGGTCCTTTTGCTTGAGGGCGCGTGTAATTCTTCTATAAGTCGGTCTATGAAGCCAGTGTTCTCAGTCATTTTTTGTGTATATGACTCCGCTTTGTGGATAGCATTTTTAATTTCCTTTTTTGTGTTTGGGATAGTAGTGATCAGCGATGCTAATTGCTGCGTTTGTTCTGTCGCTTTGTTACGTTCCGTTTCCATCTTCTTAATAAATATTTCAAATTCAGTTTTTGTTTTCTCAGGTGTATCGTCGCGTTTTCGTTTCGGTTCTTGACTGGTATTTTCTAGGTTTAGAGAGTACGCCCTACGAAGAGGGGGAGGGGTTCTAAAGATGGAATCTTTTCTCTTAAATACGACTGATTCATTATTTTGTGTTGTCCTGTCTATTGTTTTCCCGTCCATGGTTCCATTGTTTCCTCCATCCTTATTAGGATCGTAAAATACCTCAGCATTAGTGTTTTCAGTCTCGGTTTTCATTTTGTCTCCAATAGGGTTTACTAGCTCTTCAGTCTGTTTTTTTCCCAGAGCATGATGGTCGTCTTTTTTACTTGTTCCAGTTGTCAAGGCATTAACATCAGTCTGGTCCCTCCCTGATGCAACGAGTTTAATAAAAAATGTTTGATTTTCTTCCATGTATGTCCCACGAGTAGCTAGGGAACAACTATCCGTCTGAGCAGAGCCCCGCGTGCCCAGATAAGGCCTTGCCAAGGCCTACCCCACGCGCTCTCGCCATAACGGTGGGGGTCGTTCCAGACTCCTCTTCCCCGGAGCCACGCACACCCTCGCCACGACTTTCCAGCTTGGTGTTGGGAGATTTTTTTCCAAGGTTTACTCCTTGTTGCTAATTTTGGTCCGCGCCGACTATTTAATTTCATCGGTACCACCCATATAGAATATGAGAAGCGTTCCCCAATCCGCCACCCGGGGACGCGCTGGATGGGAGATTAGCAATTCCACACCAGAGTAGTAGTAGTAGTAGTAGTAGTAGTAGTAGTAGTAGTAGTAGTAGTAGTAGTAGTAGTAGTAGTAGTAGTAGTAGTAGTAGTAGTAGTAGTAGTAGTAGTAGTAGTAGTAGTAGTAGTAGTAGTAGTAGTAGTAGTAGTAGTAGTAGTAGTAGTAGTAGTAGTAGTAGTAGTAGTAGTAGTAGTAGTAGTAGTAGTAGTAGTAGTAGTAGTAGTAGTAGTAGTAGTAGTAGTAGTTTTTTTTTTTTTTTTTTTTTTTTTTTCTGGTTGGGTGGGAATCCATTACGGACACCAGGCATATGGTTCTGCCCATACCTGATAGTGTGGGACTCCCGGCTGAATGGTGCAAGGCCGGTATACCCACTAAAACCACCCATCGCCTTGGTTGGACCTATTTGGAACTGCCGTCGGGCATTACTTCGAATAGGTCGGCGGTTTCAATTGATGTTACGGTTTCTTTCCTTTTTTTTTTTTATCTTTGAGCTTCCATTTCTCGGCGTTTTAAGCTCAACACTCTTGTGACCATTTTATCCACTGTTCCCCAGGTAAGTTCGCTCTCTAGCATTTTGAACACTACATTTTCGGGAGTAATTCGACCTATTTTTAATTCCGCTTGTTTTCTCTCCTCAGTCCATCTTACGCATTCGAAGAAGGTATGCTCGGTTGTGTCCGGAATATCGCAATATATGCATTTGTTTTCTTCTTTTATTTTAAACCGATGGAAGTAGAAGTTGAAGCATCCATGTCCCGTTAGGAGTTGTGTAAGGTAGTAATTTACCTGTCCGTGTTTCCTGTTTACCCATGGTCTAATGTCAGGTACGAGTCTCTTGGTCCAGTTTGCTTTTCCAGCATCCTCTTCCCATCTTTGCTGCCATTGATCCAGTATTATGCGATTAGCTTCTTTATTGTCGTATCCTTGGTCTAACATAGCCTTTTCCTCGGCAAGCAGATCAACTGGAGGGATTCTTGCTATGACTAGCAGTGCCTTTGTCGACGTGGTCCTGTATGCGCTGGCTATCCTGATGGCAGTTTTCCTCTGTACTCCAGTTAGAATGTTCCTGTATATTTGTTTTTTCATTGCTCTTTGCCATATTACTGATCCGTATAGTACTATTGAGTTTACAACAGCCAACAGCATACGTCTTGTACTTTCTTTGGGGCCTCCTAGATTTGGCATGATGCGTGCGAGGTTGGCAATTGCCTTGTTAGCCTTTTTAGCAGTTTCTCTTATGTGGTGGCCCATGTACATGTTCCTATCTAAGTGGATGCCTAAGTATTTTAGGTTCTCCTGGCTCGTGATTTCTAAGTTGTTTACACGCACAGTTATGTTTTTTATTTTTCTACCTGCTGCCAGTAGAACCGCTTCCGTTTTTTGTTCCGCTAATTTTAGTTTCTTTTGGTCCATCCATTCCAAAACGTCCCTTATCACTCTGTTTGCCGTATTTTCTAGCTGTATCGCCGTTTTCTCTACAACTAGGATGGCTAGGTCATCCGCATACCAGTAGTAGTAGTAGTAGTAGTAGTAGTAGTAGTAGTAGTAGTAGTAGTAGTAGTAGTAGTAGTAGTAGTAGTAGTAGTAGTAGTAGTAGTAGTAGTAGTAGTAGTAGTAGTAGTAGTAGTAGTAGTAGTAGTAGTAGTTTTTTTTTTTTTTTTTTTTTTTTTTTTTCTGGTAGGGTGGGAATCCGTTACGGACACCAGGCATGTGGTTCTGCCCGTACCTGGTAGTGTAGGACTCCCGGCTGAAGGGTGCAAGGCCGGTATACCCACTAAACCCACCCCATCGCCTGAGTAAGGAACCTATTTGGGACTGCCGTCAGGCATTACTTCAAATAGGTCGGCGAGGATAGATGTTTTACATATTCTTCCCATTTTATTCATTTTATCTTATTCTATTCATGTCTTTTCTTTTTTGTTGACAGGATTTTTGCTGAATAGTTTTTAATGGTATTCCAGTTCTCTTTGCTCTGTAGGATCTTATTGATTATGTTGTCCGGTGTTATTATTCCCAATTTGTTTTGAGTGGCTTGTCGATCATCTTCCCATCTTACACATTTAAAAAATGTATGTTCTACTGTATCGACTGATCTACAGTATAGGCATTCGTCTGTATCAGCAAGTTTGAATCTAAACAGATAGGATTGGAAGGTTCCATGTCCCGTCAGAAGTTGAGTCATATAAAAATCAACTTCACCATGATTTCTGTCATTCCAGAGGTATAGGTCTGGTATTAGTCTTTTGGTCCATTCTGCAGTCCCTTCGTCTTTTTCCCATCTCTCTTTCCATTTTCCCAGTATAATTTCTTTTGTTACTGTTCTATCCGTACCATTTCGTATAAGCTCCCGTTCTTCAGCTAGTATATCCAATGGAGGTGTTCTGGCTATTACCAGCAGGGCTTTTGTAGATGCTGTTCTGTATGCACTTGTTATGTTGATTGCTACTCTACGTTGGACTTTTAGGAACATGCCCCTGTATAACTGTTTCCTCATGGCTTTTTTCCATATTGTGGCTCCGTACAATATGATGGATTGTACAACGTAAAATAGGATCCTCCTGCTATTTTCTCTTGGTCCCCCTACTTTAGGCATTAGCCTTTGTAGGTTTCCTATCGCCTTACATGCTTTTTCAGCCGTCTTTTGTATGTGGGTACTCATTGTCATATTCCGGTTTAAATGTACTCCAAGATATTTGATGGATTCCTTAGTGTTTATCGTAACTCCCTGTACCGTTACCGTAGCGCTCTTTGTTTTTCGTCCCCCCGCAAGTAGCACTGCCTCCGTTTTATGTGGTGCGAGCTTTAATTTTTTGTTATCCATCCATTCAGTCACATTCGTCAGTACTTCGTTGGCCTTTGCTTCCATCTGAGTGGCATTTTTGTCTGTTACTAGTATCCCGAGATCATCGGCGTATGCAATAAGCTTAACTCCTCTAGGAACCAGTAGTCTCAACACTCCATCATAGTAAAGGTTCCATAGGGTCGGGCCCAGAACGAAACCTTGGGGAACTCCACTTGACAGCTCTATTTTTCCATTTTCCCCCACTAGTAGGGTTCGGTTTTCAAAATAGCTAGCCACAATGTTATACAAATATGGAGCCATTTCTCTTCTTTGTATTTCATTTAATATGCCTTCCCACGGTGCCGAGTTAAATGCGTTCTGTATGTCCAAAGAGATAATCATACATCTTTCTCTTGCTGTTTTTTGACTGGCTTCTTCTGCTGTTTCTCGAACCACCTCTAGTGCGTCGATTGTTGACTTCCCTTCTCTAAAACCATACTGGTGAATAGCCAGAGATCCTTTTCTATCTATTTCTCTTTTTAACCTGTCTAGGATTAGTTGTTCGAATAATTTTCCTATAACGTTGAGCAGGCATATTGGTCGATAAGTTTTCTCACCTTGTCCGGATTTGTTCTTTTCTATTAGAACGAGTTTTGCTGTTTTCCACTCGCGCGGGAATTCTCCTTTTTTTAGCAGTTCGTTTAGGACGTTTAGGTACGTGTCGGGGTAGTTTTTGGTAGCCGCCTTGATTACTTCTGGTGGTATTGAGTCCGGTCCTGGAGCCTTTTTTTCTTTTATTCTATTGCTTGCCTCAATTAGTTCCCATTTTGAAAAGCTTGGAACTTCGTTTCTCTTGACTGGTATTTTTCGCCATTTTTTTACCGGATGTTCTGGAAAGAGTGTTTTTGCGATTTCTAGTTGCTTTTCGTCTGTCAGTATTGTATCTGGTGCCGTCTTTAGGTGCTTCATCACTATCTGGTAGCCTTTACCCCAGGTATCGTTGTTGATATCTTCTATAACCTTTTTCCATGCGTTCTTCTTTTCTTGGATAATAACATTTTTTAGGGTTGTTCTAGCATTTCGGTATAGTTCTTGAGCGATTCTCTTTTGGTTTTCGTCTTTCTTTCGATTTGCTCTGGTCATGGCCCTTTTATATCTCAGGCATTCTGTTCTTGTATCAGCAACCCTATTCGACCACCAATATACCGGTTTTTTGTTGAATTTAGACTTTTTGGAGGGAAATACTTTATTACACGCTTTTGTTACTATTTCTGTTAGCTCTTTAACACCTATAACTTCATTTTGAGCTTTAATTATTCTTCCTACCTCTTCGATTAGGTCATCCATGCTTTCTTTTTTGACCGTCCATCTTCGATTCTTATTTTTGACGCTGTCTTTGTCTCTTATGTTATCATCAATATCGTAGCATATATGTTGATGAAAGCTTAGATTTTCTTCTTCTAAAACCCTCCATTTAGTTAAGTGTTTCGCTATTTTTCTAGTGCTTAATGTTAAGTCAATATAGGACTCGCTGTAGCCTCTAACGAAAGTGGGAACACTTCCCTGGTTATGCACTATTACGTCGTCTTGTGCAAGCCACTCTACCAATATTTCCCCTCTTTTGTCTTCTTTTTTAGATCCCCAGCTGTAAGATTTTGCATTAAAGTCTCCACCTATTACTATTTCTTTTGTATGCCGTTTTAAGTCTGCTTTCAAAATATTAATGTAGTTAGTAAAGTGTTCTAAATCTACGTTAGGTGATATATAGCATCCATATATGACCAGAGCTTGCAATTCTATCCATACGAAGCCATGACCACAGCCTCTCTGATACACGCTAATATTTTTATTGGGAATGTGTATTGCAACATCTTGATCTAAGTCTACTTGCCACTGGGATTGGGCTAGTTTTTTCTTATTGGGTTCCGCCATAATAACCAAGTCCGCCTTATATTCTTCCGAGAATTTGTATACCATGTCCATCGCTTGGTTGCCTCTGTCGACATTGCCTTGTAGTACAGTTATTTTCATTAAAATACGCTCGACAACCTTACCCTTTTCTCCTGCCTTTGCTGTTGGATAAGCATTCGATACTCTGGGCATCTCATTGTCTCTGCTTTGTGTCCTTCGGTGTTGCATAGGTAGCATTTTACCATGTTTTTACAGTCTTTTCTGAGATGTCCCTGTTGTCCACAATTATGACATAGGTCCTTGGGTTCCTTTTTATTGCAGTTACTTGCTATGTGTCCAACCCTGTAGCAGTTATAACACTTTTGTACATTTTCTACTTCTTTTACTGTCCATCTATTCCATCCTTCTCCTATTTTTCTTCTAGATAGTAGTTTTTGTGCAGTGTCTGTGCCAACAGATAAGAAAGCATACTTTAACCCTCTTATATTTGATTTGCCTGCCATCCTGATTTGCATGCCATCATGTTGCCCTCCAATATTTTCGATCTCTTTTTTAATGAGCTCTTGGGCTTCTTCCATTTGAATGGTATCATTTATGTCTAGGATCCTTACCGTTTGATTTATTTGTTTTGTCTCTACTTTTGCCATGTTGCTTAGTTTTTGGGTCAGCTGTTCTTTGAATGCGTGCCTGTTTTTTTCCTCTTGTCCTTTTATTTTTATATGTATATTTCCTTCCTCTGATTTATCTACTCTGTCTATTAGTATACCCTCTGTATTTACATCCTTTTTCATGTTTCTCATTATATCGGCGTAAGTGCTTCCCTCTGTTGGTTTTATTATAATGGTTTCTATATCCTTGTTTCTTCTGGTCTGTTTATCTTCTTGTCCGTAGAAGGTACTTTGTCTACGTCTGGTTCTACTCATATAAAGTGAAAGATCCATGTCTTCCTTCCTGCAGATATATTCCAGTAACTTTCTTGTCCTTATCTCATTTACTTGTTTGTCCATTGTACATATCACAGTATTTCGGTTAACTTTCTTAAGGGCACGCATTGCTTTTTTGATATTTTCTGTTAGGTTATCTCTGTCCTCGTTCGTTTCCCCGCCTGATTCAGTCATAATGAGATACGTGTATCGGTCCATGTTATTATTGCTTTCATGGTCGTCTGTAATCAGAACACTGGAGGTTTTGCTGCAGACCATTTTTCCAGTCTTCAACTGTCTCTCTTCTAGCATGGTTGCTAGTTGTGGGTTACTTTCGATGGGTTTCTGGAGCAACCTGCGTTCTTGTTCTTCTCCTTCTTTTAGAATGATAATTATATCTCTTTTTTCTTTGCTAGTCTCCGTGTCAATGGCAGCTTTACATCTTTTATAGATTTCATCCGGCCATTTCGTTTCGATTAAGGTGTTTAACTCATCTCTATCAAGCTCTCTATTTAGCTTAGCTTCTATTTCTTGTATAGCGATTTCTTTGTCTTCTTGTGCTTTACTATACGTTTGTGTGCTGGCATCAACAGTTTTTCTCGCTGAGTTTTCTTGTGCTGGTTTGTATGCCTCTTCCGTTTGTGCGCTCATATCAGTAGTCGTTTTAACTGAGATATCAGGTATTGGTCCGTTTACTTCTAAAGTGAAAAACATTTCATCAATGAAGGCCGTCGAGGTTTGCATTTCTTTTGCATGGTAATCCAGTTTCCGTGCCGCAGTTTTGATTTCCTTTTTGGTATTTGGAATTTCGGTTACGGCTGTTTTGAGTGTTTTTGCTTCCTCAACTATTTTACGTAACAACTCCTTAAATAGGACGTACTCTCTTTCCATTTTTCGAATTTCCTTCTGGTATGTCTCATTGGTTTTTTCGGGGGTTTCCATTCTTCTCCTCTTTTTGTCAGTACCGGTAGGTTCCTTTTTACTTTGGCCGACATTGACGTGGGGATCTATTTGTCCTGTCAATGAGTTCGACCGTGTTCTTGGGGGGGTTCTTTTCAATGAGTCCCTTCTGTCGAAAGGATCCCATTCCGTGCTAGTTTCTTTTGTAGGCGTTCTCGGCAGCGAGTCTCTTCTTTTAAAGACCGCATCTTCGTCCTCATTTTGCTCAGTAGTAATAATTTTCTTCTCGGCCTGGGCTGTCACCGAGAGAAAATCGCAGTCGCTAGATGACGGTCCGCGGGGGCCTGCTTCACCACCCTCCACTCGGACCGGTACTGGGGTATCCCTCCCCTGCACCGTAGACGAATTATCAGTAATGTCTAATTCCATATTTTTTCTTTTGGGTTGATTCCTAATTCATTGCCTGGTCATAGTCCATCATATAAAGTTTCCAGAAGAGTGTCATTGTTCATTGCCGGTCCGTTGTTTGTGCCAATTTTGGTCCGCGCCGACTATTTCATTTGATCGGTACCACCCATTGCTGGGAAGCATTCCCCAATCCGCCACCCGGGGACGCGCTGGATGGGAGATTGGCAACTCCACACCAGAGTAGTAGTAGTAGTAGTAGTAGTAGTAGTAGTAGTAGTTTTTTTTTTTTTTTTTTTTTTTTTTTTTTTCTGGTTGGGTGGGAATCCATTACGGACACCAGGCATATGGTTCTGCCCATACCTGATAGTGTGGGACTCCCGGCTGAATGGTGCAAGGCCGGTATACCCACTAAAACCACCCATCGCCTTGGTTGGACCTATTTGGAACTGCCGTCGGGCATTACTTCGAATAGGTCGGCGGTTTCAATTGATGTTACGGTTTCTTTCCTTTTTTTTTTTTTTATCTTTGAGCTTCCATTTCTCGGCGTTTTAAGCTCAACACTCTTGTGACCATTTTATCCACTGTTCCCCAGGTAAGTTCGCTCTCTAGCATTTTGAACACTACATTTTCGGGAGTAATTCGACCTATTTTTAATTCCGCTTGTTTTCTCTCCTCAGTCCATCTTACGCATTCGAAGAAGGTATGCTCGGTTGTGTCCGGAATATCGCAATATATGCATTTGTTTTCTTCTTTTATTTTAAACCGATGGAAGTAGAAGTTGAAGCATCCATGTCCCGTTAGGAGTTGTGTAAGGTAGTAATTTACCTGTCCGTGTTTCCTGTTTACCCATGGTCTAATGTCAGGTACGAGTCTCTTGGTCCAGTTTGCTTTTCCAGCATCCTCTTCCCATCTTTGCTGCCATTGATCCAGTATTATGCGATTAGCTTCTTTATTGTCGTATCCTTGGTCTAACATAGCCTTTTCCTCGGCAAGCAGATCAACTGGAGGGATTCTTGCTATGACTAGCAGTGCCTTTGTCGACGTGGTCCTGTATGCGCTGGCTATCCTGATGGCAGTTTTCCTCTGTACTCCAGTTAGAATGTTCCTGTATATTTGTTTTTTCATTGCTCTTTGCCATATTACTGATCCGTATAGTACTATTGAGTTTACAACAGCCAACAGCATACGTCTTGTACTTTCTTTGGGGCCTCCTAGATTTGGCATGATGCGTGCGAGGTTGGCAATTGCCTTGTTAGCCTTTTTAGCAGTTTCTCTTATGTGGTGGCCCATGTACATGTTCCTATCTAAGTGGATGCCTAAGTATTTTAGGTTCTCCTGGCTCGTGATTTCTAAGTTGTTTACACGCACAGTTATGTTTTTTATTTTTCTACCTGCTGCCAGTAGAACCGCTTCCGTTTTTTGTTCCGCTAATTTTAGTTTCTTTTGGTCCATCCATTCCAAAACGTCCCTTATCACTCTGTTTGCCGTATTTTCTAGCTGTATCGCCGTTTTCTCTACAACTAGGATGGCTAGGTCATCCGCATACCCGATAAGTTTGACTCCATTTGGTACCGGGATCTTAAATACCCCATCATAATAGAGGTTCCACATTGTTGGCCCTATCACGGATCCTTGGGGAACGCCACATGTCATCCTCATTTGCTTGTTACTTCCGACATACAGAATTCGGTCTTCTAGATAGCTACTAATTAAGTTATAAAGGTATGCCGCGACCTTCCTTCGGCGTAGCTCCTGTAAAATACCTTCCCAAGGGGCGGTATTAAAAGCGTTTTTTACGTCAAGCGTTATTAGGACACATCTTTTTCGGCCTACTCTTTCATTGGCTTCATCCGCTATTTCCAGTAGTAGTAGTAGTAGTAGTAGTAGTAGTAGTAGTAGTAGTAGTAGTAGTAGTAGTAGTAGTAGTAGTAGTAGTAGTAGTAGTAGTAGTAGTAGTAGTAGTAGTAGTAGTAGTAGTAGTAGTAGTAGTAGTAGTAGTAGTAGTAGTAGTAGTAGTAGTAGTTTTTTTTTTTTTTTTTTTTTTTTTTTTTTTTTTTTTTTTTCTGGTAGGGTGGGAATCCATTACGGACACCAGGCATGTGGTTCTGCCCGTACCTGGTAGTGTAGGACTCCCGGCTGAAGGGTGCAAGGCCGGTATACCCACTAAAACCACCCCATTCGTCGATAGTGGACCTCCTCGGATCTGCCGGCTGGTATTACTACGAGGTAGGTCGGACGTTATTTGTTGTTTTCTGTATTTTAACCTTGTATCCTCACTGCTTCCTTTCTTTTGGCAGAGACAATCATCATGGCCATCTTGTTAATTTTTTTCCAGTAATCTTCTCTGGCTAGCATTTTGTCAATTAGGATGTCTGGTGTTAGTTTCCCTGTAGTCCTCTCCGTGTCTGTTCTGATCTCTACCCATCTAATACATTCAAAGAATGTGTGTTCAGCTGTATCTTCTAGGCCGCAATATGTACATTCGTCGGTGTCCACAATTTTAAAACGTTTTAAGTACGCCTGGAAGTTGCCATGTCCGGTTAGGATCTGTGTAATAAAGAAGTTTACTTGTCCCCATTTCCTGTTTACCCATGGTTCGATGCGTTTAATTAGCTGTTTTGTCCATTTTGCCTTATTAGTTTCCAACTCCCATTCTTCCTGCCATTGTACTATAATTCGATCTCTTGCTTCTTTCTTTATAACCCCGTTCTGTATAAGTTTCCTTTCTTCCACTAGCAAGTGTATTGGTGGAGTCCTTGCCATGACGAGAAGTGCCTCAGTGGACGTTGTTCTATAGGCGCTAGCGATTCTAATCGCGGCCTTCCTCTGGACACTTAGAAGCATTTTTCGATACATTTCTTTCTTTATGGCCCTTTCCCATATGCTAGCTCCATATAGCATTACAGACTGTACAACTGTACATAGGATTCTCCTACTATCCTCTCGTGGGCCACCTACATTTGGCATTAGTCTGCTTATGTTTCCTAAGGCTTTGCTGGCCTTCTCGGCCGTTTTTCTTATATGTTGCCCCATTCTCAAGTTTCTGTCCAGATGGACGCCAAGGTATTTGACACTCTCTTGGCTTTCAATCACTGCGTCTTGTACTTTGATTTTTATAGATTTTATTGTTCTACCACCTGCCAGTATAACTACCTCCGTCTTTTGAGGTGCAATACATAGTTTCTTTTCTTTTAGCCTATCTACAATTGTTTCTATTGCTTGGTGGGCCTTATCTTTCAAGTCATCTTCGTTCTTCGCCACTACAACTATTCCTAGGTCATCTGCATAGCCAACTAAGGTGACTCCGCGTGGGACAGGTAATTTTAGGATATCATCGTAATACGTGTTCCAAAGGATGGGTCCTATAACAGATCCTTGTGGGACTCCGCACGTTACATCTATTTTACTGTTTTCTCCTACTATTAGGCTTCTATCTTGTAAGTAAGTTGCTATCAGGTTGTATAAATATCCAACGGTTCCTCTACGCCTGAGGTCATCGAGAATTCCTTCCCAGGGGGCCGAGTTAAAGGCATTCTGGACATCTAGCGTTATTAAAATGCATCTTTTCCTTCCTACTCTCTCATTTGCTTCATCAGCGATTTTTTGTACTCTTTCCAGGGCATCGGTGGTTGTTCGGCCCTCGCGAAAGCCATATTGTTCGTCTGATAGGTCTCCGGTTCTTTCTATCTCTTTTTTGAGTCTCTTGGCAATGAGTTGTTCTAGAAACTTCCCTAAAACATTTAGTAGACATATTGGTCTGTATGTCTTTTCTTGTTGTCCAGGCTTGTTTTTCTCGATTAATGTTAACCTTGCCAGTTTCCATTCTTTGGGAAATATGCCTTCCACGAGGATGTTATTGAGAATGACGAGACATTTTTGGGCATGGTCTCCCACAACAACTTTAACTAGTTCGGGTGGTATCCAGTCAGGACCCGGTGCTTTTCGTTCTCTGATTCTCTCTTTCGCCTCTAATAGTTCCGCTATTGTGAATAAGGGTATCTCATTTTTATCCACTCGCAACTTTTCCCATTCAACGGTTGGATAGGTCGGAAATAGTTCCTTAGCTATTATTAGTTTCTGGTCTTCTGATAGACTTATAGGCGAGAAAGATTTTAGTTTTCTGCTGACAATTTGATAACCCTTACCCCAGATATCATTGTCTACTTCATCGATTACCTTTTGCCATGCTGTCTTCTTTGCCTCTAATATTGCCGTTTTTAGGAGTGATCTACTTTGTTTGTACGATTCCTTACATTGCCTTATTTGAAGTACACTGTTTCTTTTATTGGCCCTTGATAATACCCTTTTAGCTTGAATACATTTTTTCCGCTTATCTGCAACCTCATTGTTCCACCAGTAGACAGGTTTTCTATTTGGTATAGATTTTTTCCTTGGTAGGTTTTTATGACACGCCGTTTGGATTATTTTAGTCAGATCTTTTGCATCTATTTGGTCAGTCCTCTCGTCCAGTAATCTGCCCACTTCTTCTGAACAGTTTTTAATGTTAGCTGGTGATATTTTCCAGCCTTTATTCGCTATTCGTTGTTTTTGTCCATTTTCTTTCTCTGTCGTGTTAATATTGTAGGTTATGTGCTGGTGTAGGCTCAAATTTTCTTGTTCTAGAACTTTCCAGTTTTTGACGTATTTCGCAATTCCCTTGGTAGTAAAGGTAATATCGATGTACGATTTACTTTCTCCCCTTACGAAGGTAGGTACATCGCCCACGTTGTGTATCTCCAGATCTTCTTCGCTCAGCCATTCTGTTAGAATCCGTCCCCTTTTGTCTTCCACTTTGGAGCTCCAAAGATATGATTTAGCGTTAAAGTCTCCACCAACTAGGATTTCTTTTTTATGTGTTTTCATGTCTATTCGTAGTCTATGAAGGTAATCAGTAAATGAGACAATATCTATGTTTGGTGATATGTAGCAACCATATATAATAACCCTGTCTGTTTCGATCCACACGTAGCCTTGTCCCTCGCCCTTCCTAGAGTAGTAGTAGTAGTAGTAGTAGTAGTAGT